CTCTCCCTCTCTCCCTCTCTCCCTCTCCCCCTCTCTATATCTCCCTCATTCTTCCTCTTTCTATTCCTCCCTCTCTCCCTCTCTTTGTCTCGCTCTCTCCATATCCAAAGCCAGACCTTGTTGTACACTCAGTTTCTCTCTCCTACAGCCGTGTGCACATCTCGGAGGCCACCAAGGGCTTCTTGAACGGCGAGTTTGAGCTGGAGGACGGCCAGGGCGGGGAGAGAGAGGAGGATCTCAAACTGAAGAACATCCAAACCTACCTAGTCAAACGGATACTCAAGCCGGTAAGCTCTCCATCAGCTTTAGCTTTTAAAAAAAATTATGAATGTTTTACGTCCCCATCAACACAATTTAGGCTATTTAAGAAGCGGGCTGCTTCGACCACTTTGCCTGCAGGGGCCAACTCGAGCTAAGTTGGGTACAGCTTTCCAGCAGATAGGGGGAGATATCATAAGATAAGATAAGATAAAATATAAGATAATATATAAGATAAGATATAAGATAAGATATAAGATAAGATATAAGATAAGATATAAGATACGATATAAGATACGATATAAGATAAGATATAAGATAAGATATAAGATAAGATATAAGATAAGATAAGATGATTAAGACAATACTTTGATTGCCCAATGGGACTCGATAAGTAAGATAAAAAGTAAGAAAGAAAAAAAAAATGAAAAGATAGAATAGAATAAAATGCCCACACGGGTAGTGAAGTGTCTTCTGCTTGCAACAGCTAAGAATCTATTCTGAACCTGTTGTTTGTACCACGCACCTCTGTGGCCTGGCTCCATAATGATCTTGAGTTTGAACTGTATTTGATTTGCACTTTATCATACACTGCCTGTCTGTTAGTTAGTTAGTTAGTAAGTTAGTAAGTAAGTTAGTTAGTTCGTTCGTTAGTTCGTTAGTTAGTGTCAGTTAGTTAGATAGTTAGTTAGTTAGTTTGTTTGTTTCTGTATGTATGTATGTATGTATGTATGTATGTATGTATGTATGTATGTATGTATGTATGTATGTATGTATGTATGTATGTATGTATGTATGTATGT